ATAGGATGGGTTTGGGTGCCCACTGCACCTACTGTGAGACGGACATGAGCTAAAACTATATTATTAACTTGACCTCCACATTCCCATTCTGACTGGTGGACCTTCAAAATGTTTTTGAGTCTCCTGAAATTAATGACAGTGCAGAGCCAGCGTCCAGTAATCACTGAAAAGTCTGATTGTTTGCCTTTCCCCAATGAACAGTCCCTCTTGTGAAAGGCCCCAGGTCCCTTTGGGGAAGACTAGGAGAAAGACTAGCAGTATAAACTTTTGATGGTATAACGGGGTCCTTCCTCAAAGTGTTCCAGCCTCCCTGTCATTCAAGGGGTCTGGGGTCTGGGAAATGATTGAGGGGTCACGACTCTATTCTGGCGATTTGAATTAGAATGTCATTCACCTGGTGGAGAATTTTTATGCTTGTATAGGTCAAGTAAATACTTAATATGCCTCCCATCTGTATCTCGACTGGAGACACCCTGCGTGCCCAACGCCATAGGGTCATACGAGGCAGGCTGTTCTGATGAATACTTGGACTCTGCTGTCCATTGCAGTACAGAAAATACAATCCCATGGATGCTGGTGTTCCCTCCACAAATTGGCTTCTTCTGCTTTGGGTCAAAGCTGTGTCCTCAGGGCACTTTGTGGGCCTACGGTTTTATCCTGATAAATCCACTATAACATGCCAATTGCCCTAAGCCGTTGGATTCTTTCTTCAAGGCAGGGATGGTATTTCATCTTTACTTAGTGTAGGCCATCTAGCAACCCATATAAACTATTAGATTCTCCTCTAACCTCTCCAGCTGAAATACTGAATGAAGAACCTCTACTTAGTGGGCCCATGTTATTAAACTCAGACTGATCTAAGCTTACGGTCCTTGCACCCTTAGCCCACATCCTTAATAACCATTCCCACACATATTCTCTAGGTTTCTATCTGTTCATATTAGAAAACCCTAGCAGGTCTTTAGCACTGTAGTGGACTTCACCTCCGGTGGTTTTCGGTGACTTCAGTCGAGAGGCAATAATAGGTGGGAAGGGTGTTTCCTGGGAACAGGCAGCAGTGCCTTGCAAGGCATTTGCCTCAGGCAATGCTCCAGATATAGCCCCAGGTGCCATGTCAGGATGTATAGTTGGGCTATTTTCAAGGATGAGTGAGGGGCTAATGATATTACAGAGAGTGCATTAGTCTCTTCAGATGGGAGGACTGGTGCTGGTGGCTGGAGTGGCTTCAGAGAATCTTGGAATTCATTGTCACCATCTTCTGGATTATTGGTTCAAACATCCCCATCCCAAGATTCAGGGTCCCATTTCTTTCTAATCAGTGCTCTCCCTTTAATAGCAGACCTTTCTATGTTGATAATTAGGTGGGCATTTTAATTCAGCCCCTTGTATGAGAAAACCCTTGGTTTGCTGTTCAGGGATGTCAGTTCTGTTACTAGAAGAGACAAGACTTTCTTTCATGACAGGTAGAAGCTTTGAGATCATTTAGCTGGCATCTGACTTGGGCTTCCACAGCTCCGGGATCATCTGTTTCCTCTTCCAGTTTGTCCATTGTAGGAAGTACCAACCAACCAGTGTCCCTGTTTGTCTCCTTCTGGAAAGACCCAACACACTGGCCTTTAGTGACCCTTGTAGGACTGAGTAGAAATGGTAGGGTTTCGAAGGCTCTATTCTTGACAGTAGACTGCGACATTTTTTTCTCCCATGAAGTAGCTAGTGGTTTCAAACCACCGACGTTTCCATTAGTAGCTGAGCACTTGGCCACTAGGACACCAGGACTCCTTGATGCCATTCTAGCTATTCTGAGTTCCTCCTACTATTTTAGCACATCAACAGTAGGCTGTGGCTCTGAGGCTTTTGTGGTGATTGCACCTTCTGCCCAAAGTGAACTTTATTTTGTTAGCTGCACAGCTAACTTCCTCACCCCTTTCAAGTCTGAGCAAAGGCTGTCTTCTCAATGAACTCTATTTAGCCTCCCATTTACAATTATATCCAACTTTTCCTTCCCTCCTGACATGTGCACACCCATTTCTGACCCTGTTATATGTTTCTGATCATTTCTTAACATTGCTATATAGCTCACTTCTTTGGTGTTCATATTACTTATGGTTCGTTAATTAACTTCCACGAACTCCCTACCTCCTAGAATGTAAACAGCAGAGGGTCAAGTATTTGTTTATGTATATTTCCCAAGTACCTAGAAGAGCTCCTGACACCTAGCAGACATTCAATAAACATCGGTTGAAAGAAAGAATTTTCAGATACACATTTTATTTGCTCTGTGTACTTTTCCTGGATCTTTTGTTTTGTTTTGTTTTTCATCTGTTTTTTATTAACTACAGTGATGGGTGATGCAACTAGCAGTGCTAATTTAGTTAATTACTGAAACTCCATTTAAAATCTCTTCATGAGCCGAAAGTTTAAATAATTGTTTTAAAGTAATGAGGTTGGCGGTTTATAATCTCTTCTCCATTTATTTTCCCTAGTCAAGTTTTGTGAAGCTGCTACTGAATTAGTAGTCAGCTCAGCCATGAAGAGAGACTAGTGAGTTGACTGAATATAAATATGTAATCTGGAAGAAATATTATTCACAATAATGTTCTACAACTATTCATCCTAATATTAATGATTTCTATCCACAGACACATTCAAATGGTTCATCAACTTTCAATTATTGAGGACATTCAGTAATTTCTGGTTAAGGAAGATAGATAGTTTCCTTTGAGTTCAATAGCTTACTAGCCCAAATTCATTTATTCAGTTTATCAATCAGCAACCATAAAATCTTGAAAGCTATTGTACATTTGTTAATATAAATTTTCTAACTGGATAAAGTGACTCTTTATGTAATTATATATGCTCATACTTACTTCTATTCCTTTCAGCAATAAATATAAACCTTGAAATGGACTATCCTAATGAGAATGCCCCCTTTTTTTTTTTCCAATAAAAAGTCATTCGTCACTTAGCCTTCTTTTGTTTGGGGTCTATGGTGTGACCTCAGTCTTGAATCCAAGCATCGGAAGAAGGGAAAAAAAATTAATGATAAAATCTTATCTTTCAAAAATGATCCTTGCTGTTCTGGACATACTGAAGAATACTGTAAGCCATCGTGCAGAGAAAAGGGAAGCTGTTAGAGTTCCTTGTTACTTCTAGTCTCCTGTCTCGGGACTAGACGGGAAGCAGAGACTCTTCAATTGCTGGCCAAGGGGAGAATCAGGGAAACCTAGGGAAGGCTTCAATGAGCTGATGGACGAGGCAGCCTTACAAATGGGCTCACACATAACCAAGCGTCTTAGAGCTGGAACAGGCCTGGTCAATGCTTCATTGTTATCCGTAAGGCTACCATGGGTCAGAATTGAGTCAGTGGGTGCCAACAATAGGATACCCTTCAATGAAAAGTGGAGAAAAACTGTAAAGCAAGAGAAAGTCAAGGTTTCCTCACTTATTTTATCTGCTATCCGACTCAAATGTGGGGAGGAAGCTCATGTAGCACCAGCTAGATTAGGAGGGTACAAAACATAGGGAGGCTGGTGATCAGTTTCGTTTTTGAAAGTTGCGAAAGGGACTGAAAAAGAGTGCTTTTGTACCAATGTTCAGGGAAGTTATAGCGTTCAGGCAAAGAGA